AACTGTTCGTGCTGTACTGTTGTACGGATGCAAGACCTGGCCGATTCCTAAAGATGTCTAGAGCAAGCTATCCGTCTTCGAGCACCGCTGCCTGCGGTCCGTTGCACGTGTGTGGTGGCGGCATCACGTTAGCAATGTGGAAGTTAGACAGCATGTCTTGGGACGAGGAAGCCACTGGTTCGAGGAGCTCGTCTCACTGCATCAAATGCGGTGGTTCGGACATGTATTGCGCAAGCCTGTCCAGTGTTACCCGCGTCGTGCGTTGCTTGCGGTTGCTGGACAGGGCTAGAAGAGACGGTCTGGTGGACAGCTTTCAACTTGGAGAAGCCGCATGAAAAAGCTAGCGAAACAGTTGGTCTATGCCGGTTGTTGTCGATTACCTGGTTGGGGTCCGAGAGTTGTGGATACTTTCTGGTTGAAGACCTTGGAAGCCATGGCTCATGGTCGATGTCAATGGCGGACTTGTGCATCGGTGTGTTACGGTGTTCTTGCTTCCTCCTCCTAAAAAAACAAACTGAGAAAAAGTTTAAAAACTTAGTGGCAAACTTGACGTTAAAACGTTTGTTGTTGTTGTTCTTTTCTTATTGTTCATACCATTTTCCTATTCAGCAATGATTCCAATGACAGAATATATGCACCACAGATTGTGTTGTATAAATATATATATATATACATATATATGTATATATATAGTTAACCTCTTCAAACATTCATGCTATTCATTTGCTGTTCCCTGAATTCGTGAACCACATCTAGACAGGGTAAGGTACCAAATGAGTTCTTGGAAGTCAAATGTCTTCTTCCCTCTAGGTAACCGGGAAGCCCTGTACCCAAGAAGAGTAGGTAATGTGTTCTAAAAGTTCCACCCTCTGTCTTTGCTACCTGGAAACGCTATTGTCTTTTAGCATGTTGGAAGTGAAACACGTTAAAACACTCTCTCCTGAAATATACTCCAGGTACTCTATTCCACGTCAGTTTAATCTCATCATGCTTGATAGCACCTTTCATTTTATCAGTCCACAACATCGTTCCACCCTAGACAAGGGTTCTCCTTCCTCACCGAGATCAGGAATCTAGGTCAAAGTACGCGCCACTGAATTGTATCGGTGTGAAGTTCAAACCTTCCGTTCGTAATTCAGGATAGCAACGTTAAATGTGTTGGCGCTGAAGCACATCGGGTCGCAGTAACCGGTTGTTTGTAATGTGGAAATCCCCACCGTCTATTTTCGTTGCTTCATTGAAAACCGCTAACTGCGCTTCAGTGCTGCGTTGTGATTAGCCGAACGGTTAGAAAGTGACTGTTTGTCTAGTAAAATTCTCCGTGATTTATTTGGATATTTATGGCACCACCGCAAGATGCGTATTCATTGTTGACTGTGCCCCGTTGCGTTGATGCCCACATCACAGGGCCGCATATTGTTCCATGCTTGCTTTCAATGTTTATTTTCACTATCGTTACTCAACAACCCGTTTAACTAGGTACACGCTTAAACAGAGGATTCACATGGCTTTCGATGTTGTAGTTTTCACCCCAAACATCCTATGGGATTTTTTTGGGTACTTGCATTTAAAAGCGTTATAAATCATTTTTTATTGTTCATCATTTGTCAGGCGCGCTACCCATACCCTTTGTCTGCAATTGGAAATCGCGCAAATAAACAGCCTGCGACTTCCCTATGATGTATTTGGGCACCAGATGAAGTGTGTCAGGCGATTTACCTCACAGTGCCAGAGGATATTTCATTGAAGCTAAACTAACACTTTCAGGTAACTCCAGGAAACCCCACTGTTGAAAATGATCACGAATGAACTGCACCATGTGTGCCACCAACACGTAAGAAAGCAGATGTTCTCCGTTTGCTTTAGGCCACGCAAATTCAGTAAGTACCTGGTAGTCATAATCATCAATACACGTTCGATGAGGGTGAGAAACGCTCCTCAGCTAATGTGCCGCAATAAAAAAAGGTAAGATACCAAAACAACACTAATAAAATGCAAAAAAACCAGCAATACGATGCTAGAAATCACTTTATTAGTTTGCTGTCAGATCGTGATTGCAGGCGGAATTTAAAGGAGGGGGGATAGGCAATGAAACTCCCAGCACAAACGCAACTGGGGCGGCTCCTAGCCATGTAACCGAGCATGCCCAACTAGGTGTGCTCATCGTCCTTCGGACCCCAGCCGGACTGACGGGATGCACCAACCAGCGCCAGCTTCCAGTTGATGGATTTCATTCGTATAGATCAAGTCATGGTTTGGTCTCCCCTCCTCATGTTCCATCTACACCCAGGGCGCGCAAACAACGCGCGTCGCGGCAGTCGGTGGGCTGGCATTCCTACCACGTGACTGAGCTATCAAAGCCTGTTGCCTGAAATGCCGGTGCTGAGCTGTTAATTTCTTTTTCTGTGCCGAAAACAAGGCGTCAAACACGCCCGTTGCTTACTCGGTGTTCCCACTGGATGTGAGCTAAGTTGCGAAGGCACCGGAGGTCGAACGTAACTAGCCTCTTTAGGTCCCTTTGATCTAAGGGGCCAGGTTTCACGACGGTACAGTGAAATCCAACGTACCGCTGTATTGTACACTCTACCCTTCAGGGCAAGAGTGATGTCGCGCCGGCGCCATAAGTGGTGAAGTTTAGCAAAAGCACTTTGAGCTTTCGCTATACGGTTCGGGAACTCACCTTTAATCCCACGGGCGCTGATACGATTTTCCAGGTGGTTGAATTCTTGAACGACTTCTAGCTGACCCCCACCAACGGTCAGCGTAGGAGGCGGTCCAGACCAATCTTGGAGGAAGGATTTGCACTTCGAGGGTACAAAGCCAATACCGGAGTGACGGACAGCCAGTACTAATCTGTCCAGTGCTGCTTGGCACATTTGTGAGCTGTCACAGGTTAGAGCATCATCAGCATAGTTCAAGTCAAGAAGTCCTTCTACTGGGAGCAGACCCACACCCTCTAACTCGTGTCCTGTGAACGCGATTTCCGTTACTTCTTTGATAGCGAAGTTGCATAAAAAAGGTGACAGCGAACATTCTTGACTCACACAGTCAGAGATATTAAAGGGCGACGACAGCTCGCCGTAAGCCCTCATTCTGCCTGAGCTACGTGCGTATATTGCGCGGATAATATTTACATATTTCTCAGGTACATCTTTCCTGAGTAGACAGTCCCAAAGTGCACGCCTATCCACCGAATCGAATGCACCTTTGATATCGAGGAACACGACAACGGTGGGCTGCCAATATACGTGACGGTACTCCAACAACTGACGCAATGTGAGGATGTGGTCAATGCAGCCACGACCTCGACGAAACCCGGCTTGTTCTTCACGAATCTGGCTTTCACGCGTTCCAGTCAGTCTGTAAAGGATAACAGAGGCAAGCAATTTGGAGGCGATGGGGATCAGACTGATTCCTCTATGGTTGCAGCATTCTAATAGTGAGCCTCCCTTGAAAATGGGGACTATGACGGAGCGGCTCCAGTCGGTTGTGACAGCTTACTGCTCCCACAATTCCACTTGCAAATCGCGTAAATCATCCACAATAGCAGGTACCCGAATTTGTAGGGGGCTGGTTCGAGGCTGTTGGGAGCCAAGTCCCCCTCAGGCGGGTGCTGTGTCGAAACTTCGTGGTCTCAAGAAATAAGCGAGTATCTTCGCACAAAATGAAGTAACCGCTCACCGTTATCAATACGGAAGCCTAGATCATGTTGGCCGCCGAGATGCAGTTTATCAGTGGATAATTTTCCAACTTGAGCGTTCAGATCCCCAGCCAGCATAACAGTGTCCGAGCTTCTTCTGTGTCGAAGGAGCTCGTTTGGTGGGTGATCGAAGCCGTCTTTTACCGGATCATCGCCAGAGTTTGTGAGTGCATAGGCAGCGATGTCGAATAGACACCTGTTAATGCCGTGCGGCTCCAAAGATTTGAAAGAGCCAGCCAATCGGACCGCACACATCCGGTTAGGGATGGGAATCCAGTCAACCAGAGCAGTTTCAGCCCGGGGACTTAGAGCAATACCAACGCCGGCCTGGCCGGTGCTCGAAGCTGCATCGTCACCGGATAGGCGCAATGAGAAAGTGCTGCTGGTGTCACCCGAGGAGGATCGCAAAGTGAGCAATGAACTCGACTGAGGCACACAAATCATTGCACCATTTTAAGCTCTAGTCTCGTCGCGATGGATCTGCTAATCATGAAATCTAACCGTGGAGACACAGCACCCTTGGAAACCATGGGTTAAATTTGTGCGCGCAAGAAAGCCTGTTGTATATATCCTACTGATATCTTTCATGGAGACTAAGTGGTTTTTTCTGAAAAAGAGCTACTTTTGGGGTGTATAGCAAGGTTAGTTTAGTATACGTTCAGAAGTACCTCATCCATCGTCAGCAGAACTAAGTGCTGCAGGATAACAGTCAGTGACATAGGTTGACGAAGTGAGATAAAACGTGAGAAGGCAGCACACCAGGAGCCGTTATCCGTAGTCTGGATGACAATAAAGTTGATTGCGATAGTCAGGAATGTATGTGTAGAGGGTTGACCCCAATTTTCAAAAAGTAAAGTGGTAGGCAACTTAGAGTTACCAAACACAGACTTAGGTGTGCGTGCTAGACCACAGGGTAAGAGGGTCAACCATTTATCTTAAACATGCACCATATTAGCATACAATGTTGTCACCGTATTCTCGGTAGTGTTGGTTTGTAAAGTTCTCTTAGTTCTCACCTAATGAAGCGGAGCCTTTTATGCTTAGAGTATTTCTGTGTAAGACTCTATTATTGGTGCAAATCAAAGCACGCACACACCTGAACTGTGGTCAGGAAATCAAATATTGGAGAATTGTTCCACTCTCCTGGAAACATCGGTCAGATAAAAGATTTAAAATATTACACACTGGCCCAAACAAGGCACTTTATCAGCTCAATGAAAGCCTAAGTAAGCCTAGGGAAATGGCATTAGATCGTCTTATTTTCTTATTCAATTATATTTACACATCACTAAATCCTCACCGGTGCATTCTGAAGTTGGTCCGATCGTAGTCGCATTCCAGATAGCCCGGTATTCCTGCACAGGGCGGAAAATTGCTGAGGAATCCAAGGTAATCTCTGGGTTGATTCTCGACCATAGCGCCCATTTAGTGGCATCGTTTAGGTAGCACACTTGCAGAGGGCTAAGTGTTGTCGACGGCTACGTATGCTGGATATCACGTTGCGTCACGTGTTGAATGCGTTTGAAAAAATCTATGAAGAGAATCTACTGCATGAGTGGTAGGGATATACCCTGAACTTCCTAAGGAATATTTTGATACTAAACCAGCATAGAAGCTAACCGTCATGCTTGGAGATAAGCATTCTGAAATTTTATATTGTTGGTAGGTAAACGGCATAAATCAGCGTTCGGTGTTTTGCGGATTATGATACCTGAGAGAAAAAGACAACCATCTGGCAAACTACATATGTAACTGCATGGGAAACAAGGAAGTTCGGCATCTAAATTGTGTTAATATGTAGGATGTACATACGGATAGTGTTTGCTCAGTTAGTGAGATATTATTATACTAAGCACGGGTTTTATGCCATATCTAACGCGTTATAATAGTGAACATATTTGCTTGGATGGTTGCCACAGAGTAGCCATCGCTGATTCCTTGACGGCAGACTAAAACATGGCATTCCGGCCTCATTCTCTTGAACATCTAAGCGCTGGAGATCACAAACGATCGCATAATACTCACTGTAAACGAACAGGAATAAATAGACTGCAGAGGTTTAAGAGTAAAAGGTTCTGTTTCATGACTGCACGTCCACAGTTAATTAACGATCATCCTATCCACATGATTTTAATGCTCCTTGAGCAACAAATCAGCAGCAATATACGAATTTACTTGTTAGACCCTGGAAAACAGTGCGCAACTAAAACAATTTCGCATGTGAGTTTTTTCCAGTCAACAATTTTATGAAGACTAAGGGCAGGGTTTTGCAACACTAGTGTAATACAGGTCGTCAGTCATTTACCTACCTGCGTCCTTGCCCATTTAAAATCAGTTGCTCACTCAGCCGATGAGTTTATGTTTTCTTTTTCTGTAATATGTGCCCTCGTATTTGCATGGATGACTCTTTACATTGAATTAGTGGTGAAAACTATTTTATCTAAAGCGTGTGCATATAGGTCGGAAATACCGGATATACATGCTCACAAATCCGCCGTTCGTCATATAATTGCGGCAAAGATAATTCATAAGAAGAATACAGCACTATGACTACGACATACACCATCGAATGCACGATACAAATAAGCACAATTAACAGTTGCACAAAATATGTTTACACGCAAATGTCTCAGATGAGGGAATGTCGATGGAGCAGGACTATAGAGACGTGATTAGTGAATCGGTGCTTACAGACCCAATGGTTGGATGTGTTGCTTAATGATATATTTAATCCCAGAAGGCCATACCTAATCACAAGATTCATGCAGCAGAGCTTCGGTTGCGTTTTGGGTTGCTTTTCGTCCACCAATTTACAAGAGAACTATTAAACACTTAGTTGATATAAGTAGATATTCGTCACATCTAGACTCACTCAGACAGCTGTCACACGCTCGGAAAAGCACTGTACGCGCGTTCCATCCTTTCGGGAATAGTCAGCAGTGCACATTCCATCGGAACCTGATAGGGCTCGAACCCGCAGCTCAACTGTTGCCAGCCCGTGCTTGAGACCACTGAGCTACAGGGGACCGAAACGAACATCGTGAATTAGTTACTAGATATGATATAGCACCGCCCACTATCCACTTACAGTGGTTTTCCGAGCGTGTGATGGATGTCTGAGTGTGTTGTGACGAATTTCTACCTATACCATTCAACTCCAATTACTACTCCTCCATACTTAGTTGTAAAGCAAAGAGACCACATAAGGCCTTCGTTCGTACGCGATGGTACTTTCAAATAAGCAGTGAGCAAGTGAGAATGTGAGCAGTAACATTAACTACTAATATGAAGCATCACAGCTAATAACCATCAGAAGACAACGTGATTCAATTGATTAGATTCAATGAACAATAAATTTATACGGGTTAAAAAGCAATTCTGTGGTCTTGTGGAGTTATGGATAAAAGTAAAAGATTAGTACTTTCACTAATAGATGGAAATACAATGCAGGAGCCTATCTCCTACCTAGTTTCATAACACCAATAGGTAAAAATAATACATCCACGTTATTTCCCAGAAGTTGGATGGACAGATTTTACTAACTAAAAAAACCTCAATTTGCTGAGTGCTTCATACGACCGTCGCGCTGGTTTCGTGAACTGAGATCTCAAATATGTATTGCAGCGGATTTGTAATAAATAAGGGCACACCTGATGTGAATGGAGCAGAATCAATTAGGCAATCATCAGTTTGCCTCATAACCTGCGAGACCGTATGTTGATTATTCCCAAACGCACGAGGTCATGCTCATATGGGAGATCGCCCATTCCAATGGGTACTTGAAAGCATTACCTTGATGTTGGTCCAATGCAGTGGGATCTTGCGGCAGCCAGGAATCCCAGGCTTTGCTTACGTATTCGACTTATGATCAAACATAGACACGGAGCATCAAGAAGAATCGGAGTTTTCTGCTTGTCCGAACGTCCATCTCAACAAGCCGGTGAGTTGCTTAGCAGCTTCCGATGCTTTGTCGGATTATCTGAAACAACCCAAGTCATTCTGAAACAGCACGTCTTGGTTGCATACGATGGAAGATCGCCACAGTACTGCTTTCCTAGCCTGCACGTGTAGGTAGTCTGGTGTCGAATGGTGAGTACCTTTCATTTGCTCTTGTTGAATTAAAATAAATACCTCGTTTGACAAATGTTGCCTCATATTTGGGTCACACAGAAGCAAATGCTGGTCTGTATTCAACTGAATTCTGCACCGTAGCTTGATATCATCGCGAACCTGCAGGAAAACTTGCAAGGTTTGCCTATGCGAGGTACATAGTAAATATGAAAAATTATTTTGTCTCAAGAACAGAACCATGGGTATAATACACACGACTTATATCTGGTAGGATTCGTGAGTCCCGAAATCTGACCACTACTTTTCGATGAAGGAGAACTTTGGCAATCCAATTAAATAACGATTCAACGGCACGGTGCTGCTAGAGATTGGACAGGAGAATTCGATGATTCTGACAATTAAAGACCTTCGAATATTTCAGTTGGCTCACGCAAACATATTCTCCAAAGTAAATTAACTGGTTCAAACCCGCGTGCTAATGAAAAATCCGTTGTCCGCGGACGTTTTCGACGGAAGCCGTGCTACTCGGAACCAACAGTGTTTCAACTTTCTAGAAAGAAAACCTACGCTGGTGGATTCCAGAATCTTGGACAGCACAGTGGAATAGATACCGGACGGCACTTTAGAAGTAAACTTCTGTTCCCGCCTTTGTGATACAAAGTAATCATTCTCAGCTGCTTCTTCATGGCAGAAACCATGTTCAAATATAGGCAGCGCTGGAAGAACTGAGTACATTGCCTTGCCAGTTGCCTTGCTGCTTTACGTGCTTCTAGACGAATTGTATTGATACCAGAGAAACTTTGGTTACACAGCAACCTCAGTTTTGACAAGCGGATTCCTGCAGCTGCAGTTGAGTTTCGATAGCGAGCCAGAACCGCTAAAAGATCGCCTAATGATACGACTTTTCAAAAGTTTGGGACACTGCGCCTGATTCGAGTCTAGGATTTCTGTTGCAATACTTGTTGGATCTTTAAACGTCCAGAGGTGAAAATCCCTGACCCACAATTCAAATGCCATTGATGTGCCTGTACAACAGTTTGTGTTTATTTCTGTAGGTTTCTGCGACGTCCTGCTGATGTGCGACAATTTCTCTCTGATAAGTGGAATGGAATATTTACATTGGACTGCGTAGTTGTCCTAAGTTCCTGGCGTTAGACACATTATCTCTACGTTCTACATGCTGCGATCCGTAGTGCCGTCTATTTTCGAATTATGTTCCTTAGGAGGGAAATTAATTTTGGCCCATTAGAAACAATTGTCGCTAGAGCATCCAGATATAGTGCACTGAAATCGCTAGCAAATTTCAGTCAAGCGAATTCCGGGGGTCTTCGGGGAGAATGACTAGCTTGGAGGATGGACAAGCTGGGCTTAACGGATCATAGGGCGTAATAGTGCGCACAATCTGAAGGTTTTTATTTCGATACTCCGCATAGTCTATGAGGTTAGAACATATGACCGCACGATTACTGTAGCCCAACGGGCAACCTACAACAAATGCATCAGTCATATGTTCCAGTACTGACGATCAGTTACCTGTTTGGAAACGCTATATTCAAAGGACCTGGTTGTAATGCAAACAATAGTTGCCATTGCTTGCAACTGGGCATTAAAGTGCACTGCGAACAAAGCAGATGTTTCTAGGTAGGTTGGCTGAAAACATCCTGAGTACGAAGTGAGCGCATTTTCCCTTCAGAGTGAGTCTGAGAACAGCCGCTAGATGGTAATCTGTTCCGTGTGCAGAGTCTAGGGGGGAGGGCTGCCAACCAAGATCATAAGTTAAGTGGCTCTACCCATTAAATGTTAGTGGAACTGAGAAGAAGCAGAAATTGCAGGATCTAAACGTTCCACGGCCTAGCATTGCAGCTAGCTTCGGTATTACAGAATAACCCATCTGTCCGTTTGTTTTATTTTCCGGAAGAGCAACAGGTCCAGCAGAGAAATTTACCTATCCGTCGAGTCAATGTGTAACGTCTAACTGACACCGATGTTCTCACATGGATTAGAAACTCGTCCAGCTTTTAGCTCGATGAGCTAATTGAAAAGGCCTGTGATATTAATATCCAAGCAGAGAGTTTCTCGGTCGCTGGGAGTTCACAAATGACTGAAGGGATCAGGTGTGAAAGAACGCCGACCGTTATGAGACTGGCCGTGGTGCATGCATTCCTAAAAGGACTACGGCAAATACACAAATTCGATGACATACATCGTTTACTCGGCAACTGCTAGCATACGGCTTACACGTATTGTTGTAAAACGGATGTAAACAACAATATCTCCAACAGAGCACATTTGCTAGTTGTCTCCTACAGAAGATGCCTTCGTTGAGCCAAAGCATATTGTATTGGTTGACGTAAGGCAGTGTGTTAATGTTGGCTTGAGCTGATGGACTAATAATGTTGGCTGTGCTGTAAACATTGTTTACTCTGTTACATACACTTGGTCCATGTGTGT